TCTTGTCGCCCGCCATAAGGTATATCCCATTATCACGAGACTCTTGGAGAGGCTCTTCAGGGCGTGGAACTCGAGTTCTCCGGTCTTAACATCGACTTCAAAGGTTTGATTGATTTGTCATTTATTTGATAACTTTTCAATTATTGTCGGCTTTTATTGATCCACTTCTTGGACTAAACATATGTTACATTTAATGCCAATCTGTATATTATTTTAAATTATTTTTTCATTGTTTTGAGTCAAAGAACTCTCAAAGAGTTGATGGAAAATTCAATTGTAAAACAAATCATAATTAATTGCATAACACCTGACAAACAGATGTAAACCATGTTTGATGTGTTTTGTATATAAAACATGTAATGCATGTGAAGTGAGATCTAAACGAGAGATAATTGAATACTAGAGTAAAGTGATAACCGGTGAATGAATGTGTTGTATGTCTTTGGCAGCAAATGTGGGACAAACACCTTATTGCGAGGTTCAGCTGAACGAAGAGAAACTGCAGGAATTCATATATGCGGTGAAGAACTACTACTGGTATCAGATGTATATCGACGATATGCCCATTTGGGGGATCGTCGGCGAAGTGGATGAGAACGACAACAGCTATTACTTATGGACACACAAGAAGCTGGACATCGGCTACAACGGCAATCGGATCGTCGACGTGAACCTCACGAGTGAAGTGAAAGTGAAATTAGAGCCAAACAAGAAGATTGCGTTCACTTACGAAGTGAATTGGAAGAAGTCTGCCATTGTGTTCGAGAGCCGGTTCGACAAATACCTCGACCCCTCCTTCTTTCAGCACCGGATCCACTGGTTCTCGATCTTCAACTCCTTTATGATGGTCTTATTCCTCGTCGGTCTCGTCTCTATGATTCTCATGAGAACTCTGCGCAAAGACTACCAGCGCTACAGCAAAGACGAGGAGATGGACGACATGGAGCGGGATTTGGGCGATGAGTACGGCTGGAAGCAAGTGCACGGGGATGTGTTCCGATCCCCGGCCAACCCCTTGTTCTTCTCGGTGCTCATCGGCACCGGCTATCACGTGGCGTTCGTTACGTTCGCTGTCATTATATTTGCAATAATGGGTGATCTCTACATTGGCAGAGGTCTGTGTCCACCACTCACTCGTGGCTGTGACTGTCGAACGGTGTGACTAATTGTTGTGTTGAACCGCAGGTTCGTTGTTGACGACCGCCATCTTTGTATACGCGGCCACCTCTCCGATCAACGGCTACTTTGGCGGCAGTCTCTACGCTCAAACTGGAGGCAGGCTTTGGATCAAACAGATGTTTTTGAGCGCCTTCTCGTTGCCGGCGCTCATATGCGGCACTGCATTCCTAATCAACTTCATTGCCATCTACTATCACGCCTCGCGGGCCATACCCTTTGGAACAATGGTTTGTATAGTGAATGGTGTTTATAGCGACTGTAACTCATTGACTGAAATGTGTGACCAAAACAGATGGCGATTACAAGTATTTGCCTTTTCGTGATATTGCCTTTAACTCTGGTGGGGACAGTGTTGGGCCGCAACCTGGCCGGTCAGCCCAACCATCCGTGTCGTGTGAACGCCGTTCCGCGACCCATACCCGAGAAGAAGTGGTTTATGGAGCCGACGGTCATTGTGCTGTTGGGAGGGATACTGCCGTTTGGCTCGATATTCATTGAAATGTATTTTATATTCACGTCGTTCTGGGCCTATAAGATCTATTACGTCTACGGCTTCATGCTTCTGGTGTTCCTCATCCTCACCACTGTCACCGTTTGTGTCACTATCGTCTGTACATATTTTCTACTCAACGCTGAAGACTATCGATGGTATGTCACCGTTTGATCTCTGGGTGCGAACCAATTGTATATGAGTTTTGTATTTCTAATGACAGGCAGTGGACAAGCTTTCTGTCGGGCGCGTCGACCGCCGGATACGTATATCTCTATTCTTTTTACTACTACTTCTTTAAGACGAAAATGTATGGACTCTTCCAAACTGTCTTTTACTTCGGATATATGGCTCTATTCAGTGCCGCGTTAGGGCTAATGTGTGGTAAGTCTCGTGTGTTGGCCATCACCTGAACGCCACTCTAATTGCAGTGATTTTTAATCATAGGAACGTTTGGATACATCGGCACCAAAGCGTTCGTCCGGAAGATCTATTCAACGGTTAAAATAGATTAAAACAATTGACTAAACAATTAATTTTTAACAGAATGCCATCAAATGAAGCGATGCCGCCATTGATTACTAGTTATCCATGTTTTTTCATGGCTTAAACAGTAATGAGAATTTGTGTAAACCTGTAAAACCTTTTTGTTTAACGCATCGACTGTTGTATCGCTAAGAAATTTAAATCCGATTTTATTATTTAAGTTATAAATTTTAAGTCACTTTTCTGTGAGTAAAACTTACTGTAAATATTGTCATAAGTTATAAGAAGTTATTATAAAATATTAAGTTAATATTCGTGTTTTCATTCATAATAATAATAAATTGTATTAATTTAATAATAATTTATAGAAATATTGCATTTGTTTCCAAATTCTTATTTAATAAAAGCTTTAAAATCTGTTTTGTACGCTATTTT